GCAATTTGTAAGACGATTTGCACGACAAAGTCGCCACCGTTCCAGGTTTAATTCGATCGGTGCAAGACACTTTCGTTTCCACGGAACGAGCATAAAATATTCACCGCGGTATTGCTCAACAGAGAACACGTTTCCTGTTATAATGCAAATTTTATAATGAAACGTAGAAACATAAATTGATTTGCAAACAGTAGGTAATAAAAAATTTTCATTGAAATAAAAGGCCTTTATTTTTTGAGAAAATACTGGTAATGAAATATAATGACAAATGGTAAAATAATTTGAAGATCCGTGTGTTATCAGTATTATTTCTTGTTTTATTTTAAAGTTGCAGCCTATGCGCCCGTATCGTTTATTTGAAATATTGTGGGATACGGAATTTATTAAATACTGCATTACAATGTTATTATACCCGGCTATGTTTGAAATGTTATTATTATACTTTAAACTACAATCACATGATACTCGATTGTGAATATTTTACGAAGAGAACTCTCCAGGCATAAAAACTGCAACGAAAAGGAAATAATCAATAATCCAAATAATGCGTCTGATAACACAATAATAATTAATCAATTCGCGAAATACCGGAGAATTATATAAATTTGATCCTATTTAATTAATTATATAAATTTCATTTAAACAAAGCAAGTGAATATCCTCGAATTCAAAATCGTTGGGCGAGTGATAGGATCGAAGTGGCAGAAGCTTTCATTTGAACTTCTGTCCATCTAAAAAAATTCAGTTTCACACGCGCAATTTGGAATGAATGATTGAACATACGGAAATAAATATTTCGAACGTCAAAATTTTACATGTAGGTCTCGTGCAACTACTTCTTTAATCACTTTTTCATAGCACGAAATTCATATATTTAACTACTCGTAAATATCGCGACGACTGGGAGGAAAACAAGCGATCTCTGAAATCTCTGAACTCCCTGTTCAATTAACACGGGTCCCCTCCCCGGTGTGGAATTCTCAATGCAAAACAATTTCCACTAATTTGGCAAGATCCGTGATCAAATGAACTTACCGAGACGCGTTGGGGCCGGAGGGGAGCGGGGGGATCGTGCCATTCGTCGTCGAAGCAAACAGAAACGGCGCTTCCGCTCAAAATGTAATTGCGCCTACAATTGTAGTGTAGGTCAGAACGCTGTTACCCAGGAACTTTATCTCCTGGACGTTTGGGACACAGGGTTTATCACAATCACCTAGTTTGTAACTTCCACCATCGGGTGAGGCGCAGCCGTTTTCCGATTTTCTACGGGTGTCCAGCTACGAATAATTAACGTTGTCGGTGATTAAACGAACGCAAATAAGGGAACAATTGAATTCGTTATGGCGTATTGTTATTTTCCTTTCGCGAACTCGCGAACGTGCCACGACGTTCTCCACTGAAGGACACTGGAAGTGTTTAACGATTTGTCGACTTGTCGCTTCCACCCTCGCGTCGTAACGCAGTCACTTGACATCTCTTTTTCTTCTTAATATTTCGCCGTGAACTCTTCTATTTATTTTTCATTCGAGCAAATTAACTTACTTGAGCGGGGCGGCGCTCGTCGCTCGAATCGCGACAATCGAATTTATCGTCGCACCTTGCCTTGTCTCCGGCAAACATTCGCCGCCTCCGCAACTCGGAACTCGTTTTTCCTGTTTTCGAAATAACAACAAACGTTGATTACGTGTTTGAAGACACGGCATGCAGCGGTGTTTCTGTGATTGTATTGTCGCGCTTCGAGCAGAGCCAGGCAAGTGGAAACAGAATCGAGGGGGGGATTCGAGGAGTTGTTTAACGGTGAACGCGATAATACTGGCAATATTGACTGTAAACGTGCTCGAATTTGAAACAAATTCGACGAGATTAAGTAATTTTTGGGTAATTTTTGAATGTTCATTTTTACAGAATTTTTACAGAAGAATGAGAGGAGAAAGGAAAGTTTGATCTAGAAGGAAAAATCGTGTGGCAACGAAGAAACGAGACTAACGTTTCGAAATCAAGGTGCAAACATACTCTTGTTTCCATCGCCGTTTTCCCCGAGTAGATCGTGTTCGCCGGATTGAGTTTCCACCAAAATTCATTAAGATAATTGAAATGGACGAAATATTTCATAGATATTTCACGAAAACGTGCTTCTACAGACACCGTATCATATTGCATTTAATTGTTACGAATCTATTTACTATCATTACTTTCGCGCGACACGTTTATTATGCGATTCGCGAATTATATCGGCAATGAAAATACGAGCAACTTGCAACAAAGGTGATTTCGAAATACGACAGATAGTGAAAATACCAACAATATGTGTTCTATAGATTCGTTTGCTCGTATCTAATCTCTCATGCAAATTCTGAAATATCTATCATACGATCGCGCGTGTGCGTCCATTTGTTATACTTGAATATCCAGACAGATTCGTCAATCTGTCAAACCACGTATCGATCGATATTTTTCGTATTATTCAATTAGAAATTAAAATCTGCCACTCTGTCATTGTATTTTTTTCTCTGTTTCAACTCGATAATTTCTTTGCACTTCACGTTGGTTAAAGTGTAACAATGTGTTGGACAATTCACTCAGCCATTCATTTGATTCCAAATGTCTTAGGGCAATTCCTCATTCCGCAAACAGATCGAGATCATCTGGGAACAATGTTCCTATTATCTTTGGGCAACATAACGTTTAACATCGGGCTGCTTGTCATCTCTGAATTATCCGAGGCATCTTCCGCACAATCAATCCTATAATATTCAATAGCTATACGTGACCAAATCACTAGTTGTCCTTGAACGTTTAGATTGCTCGTGTTCGCAAGTATTCTTACCGATCGCACAGCCTAATATCCTAGTGATCGAACGTTTCGATCGTATGATTACTCAATCGCGTTACACAATTAACGTTTGATCGTTCGATTTCACATATTAAATATCATCACGCGTAATGCAAAATGTTAAATCTCTCTATACCTATTATATATTTGTTGGAACCCAAAATATAGAATTTTGAAAATAGAAAGACAATGATTTCTCACATCGTGACACATTTTATTTCTTACTTGAAAGCCTCGGAAAACTTACCAATCATATTTTTTACCCTTATTCGATTAAAAGTTAAAAATCACCTGCACCGAATTTTATCATCGGAAGATCCCACACTTGAAGACTCCATTTTTTTTTTTCATAATCTCCCTCGGAGAGACATTTATTTCCACTTCTGAGTTTCTTTTTGGTTTGTCGTTATTATAGTCAAAATTTCCGACCAGGAAAATCTAGGTCGACCATAATCAGATGGACCTTCAGGATCATCGAAAGGCGGTCGCTGTTCAGGAAGTCCATTACCATGGTTTAATCCAGGTGAAAATCCAAATTTAATCCGGTTTAATCCAACGCGAGGAGGCTCAGGCCCACCTGAAGGACTCTGCTGTCCTTTAAATTCGTCTACGACTAAGGAAGAGGACTTTCCTTGACACGATTATCATTCTGAACAGTTACATATTAACAAAATAATTTCGAAATAATTTCCATCGTGACAATAAATTTTCAATTAAAGAAACGTCTAAATGTTATCGCGTTGTTACTGCAAACGTTATTGTTACATTATTGACGACTTGAATCTTTTCCAAAAGAAGCGAGAGTTACGAAAGAACGTATAAAACGAGTTTTATTTCTTTAGCAAATGTTAGAGATCAATTAACAAAGCTCTGAATTTAGAAATTCATTCAGAAACGAATACTTAAGTCAATCTTTAATACTAGTTTGTTTAGAGATGATGATGTTTAGAGGGAAAAATATGAAGTAACAAAATTTAATAAATATTCTTCACTAACTCTGTTTTGGAAAAATAAGTGAAACGGCGTTGGAAACGCACGTCTAAACATCGTGTGCTTTCAACATTCCCAATTATCAAAACCATTCTCACCCTCAACTTAGTTTCTTCACTAAATTTGTCTCTATCCACGTTGAAGAGCAAACTTTTACCACAAAGCACAACCATTAAAAAATCACTACAAACGAAACTTTTGCACTCTGTATGTATCCCATGCACGCCATGCGCACGATCTCCCACCTCTAAAACTCGATGACCGCCAGTCGTGAAACTCAAGTGGAGCGTAACGTCGGCCACTCACGCGACGCGTTGATAAAATAGTCAGCAAGAAGAAGATCACTAAAAGTACAACGTGTGCGTTCACAATTGCACGTTAATCTGGAAATGACTGATCGAAGCACCAATAATTGTTACTACCTGGGGTATCGCGCAATAACACCACGAGTTCGAGAACAAAAAACCTTGGCCAATAACTTTGAACCCATCGAATAAATTGATTCTAAGATCTTCCGAAGCGTATATTGCAATTAACAATAAATTATACGATGTGACCGTGTGCGTTAAATAAATAAATATATATATATATATATATATATATATAAAAATATAAAAATATATTAATATTAACATAAATATATATATATATTTAGAATATTTAAATATAAAAAATAAATAAATATAAATATAATATAAATATAAAAAATAAATATATGTATATATATTTAGAATATTTAAATATAAAAAATAAATAAATATAAATATAATATAAATATAAAAAATAAATATATATATATTTTTTATTATTAATATAAAAAATATAAATATAAAAAATAAATATATATATATGTTTTTTATTATTTAAATATAAAAAAATAAATAAATATATATATATTATTAATAGAATATTTAAATATAAAAAAATAAATACATATGTATATAATTTAACAATATAAATAAACGAAGAATAGAAAAGAAGAGGGACATTTTCCTCATACAGGAAAATTTGGACAATTTTTAAGATGGTAGATTAGACTCTTTGTAATATCTTTATTGCTCTTAGTTCGCTTAATCTTTTTACAAACTGTTTGTCTGGAATTAATTCTCTGAGTAATTACCGTCTCTTTGTTTCATCTTTGCAATAACTTTGTTTCAGCTTAAAGACAGAAAACCGTAGAAAAAAATCCCGAGCAATCGTATTTATCAAGTATAACAGACTTGATAAAAATTCTTTGCAAATGACGCTTCCACGAAACAAAAATTATTCGCCGGCGCAATCAAACATGCAAATCGCAAACCTCTCTACGTACGCGAAATAATTTCTAGGTGGGTAGGAAAAAAAAAATAACGATTTCGCATATTTATGCGATAGATTCGTGATATAACAAACGTATCACTTGAAACTAATTCATCAAGAATATTCCGGAGAGGATGAATCCATCGGAAGCGTTTTATTTCATTTCTGCAAAAGACGGCGGTAACAATATAACGTATAACACAGACCGCTACGCTTGTCTACGATGGGAACAGATGTTTATCGCGTATACCAGCATTTCCAGAGGAGTTATTAATTCTGAATGAAGTTGTTCAAAGATGATACGAAATTCGTTGCACAAGACAGATTGCAATTACGTAATTCTCTACGTGAATCCCGTATCCTCGTTGCGTCACATGTGTATTTACCCGTCTGTGTGACTGAGTGAATCCGTTGGTCGTGTTCGTTCGCTAGATTGCTACGAGCCGCAGCCATCTTCAACACACAGTCATCGCGATGATTACTCCCGGCTGAAAATACCGTGGAATATGTCAGGTCTCGTTCCCGAAAGCGAAAACGAAATTAACTAGGTGACGAACTGCGAAAAAAAAAAAAAGAGAATAAATATATTAATGCAATAGCAAACACTAACGAACTATGGGGAACAATCCAATTTGTCATGGAAATTTTTGAAAAATCATCGAGCACACATACGCACACATGGCTCGCGCGCGCGGATTCTCATTCAAAAGCGTTGAACCAATCTAAACATGGAAAAATTTATTTTTTTTTCTCTCTTTTAACAAATCTAGTGAACGGATATTAACGCGCGAATTGAATGCAGCCGTCATGTGATTTGCAAAACAAAAGAGGATTTTATTTCGTACCGACTGATAAATCGAGCACACCGTTAAAACGTCCTAAATAATAGAGAATTCTTGTTTCTCTTCTTTCGCGATTCTGTTTTTTGCGTTTGGCCGTGCGGACAGATTTAGAAAATGAATGTGGTGCTTCAGACACACGGTGCCAAACACATATACAAGGTACCAGAAGGGCTGAGAGAACTGTGCGCCGATATCTCGCGAGAAGTAAGTAAATTGTTTCCTAGATTTAATGGTTAGCTCATCGACGAGCATAAAACTCGTGAATTTTCGATCAATTTTCCTATCTATGATTCCTGTCAATATCTGTTAATATTCTTATAATACTTACAAACAGGTTCTTCGTTCTCAGCCGGCTGATCTACTCCCGTTTATCGCCGAATATGTGGACACGCTTCTAATCACTCGCGAGAACACAAAAGGCACGAAAGCTTCTCCTTAAATTCTTCCTCGCTCTTTTTTTTTCTTTATTTATCCTTCTACTTTTGCTTTGTTCTTTTAATGTTCACGGCCGCGTAAAAGTTAAAAGTTCCAATTTTACTTTTCAACAGTCGCGGTCAAAGTCGTGAACAACATTCTGCTGGAGAGCCAGGCAATTCTGAGCATACTTTACCGGGCCGGTTTCACTTTGGAGCAGATCGCGGTCACGGCTCCGCGGATCCAAGTAAGTTTTATTGTCGCGTGCTGTCGATGCCCGCACGTGATACTTCCGCGTCTTTCTTCCCTTTTCAGAGAGCATTCCGCGAGTACCTGGACGCGGTTGACACGCAACCAACACAGATATACGAAGGTAAAAGAATCGTAAAAGAAAGCTATACAACGTTATTATTATTTCGAGCGAGCTGCTTTAACTGCAGGCTCGTTTGAATGTCATAAATTGAGAAAGTACGCGCAGCGTACTCGTTGGCTACCATGATTTAGATCACGAGTTTTTTCTTTACGATTCTCGATTAGTACGATAAAAAAAGGCTAAATGATTCAGGTGATTCAACTTGAAAAAAATTATACGCTCGTGAAGCGTATGAAGATTACGTAGAGGATTGCGAAACGAAAAATCTTAAAGTGGTATTCTTGAAATTATAAATTAATCTAAACGCAGATTCAACTTGTGACGAGAGATCAATGATATCGATTCGAGACATTCTAGAAGCTACAGGGGCTACACGCGCAGAAGCGGAGCGTGCTGCCACAGTAATACAGGTCAGTGTTCTTTTTTTTTTTTTCTTTTTTTATAATTAACAACATTTTCCAGGTAAACTCGAGATTTATACAAATTTATATAAATGAAAGCCAGGCTGCATTTCGCGGTCATTACGAGAGGATGGTCTCGAGCGAAGCTGAAGGAAAGATTCAGTGGCAAAGAGCAGTAACGAATACACTGGATATCTTGAGAAAGGCCGGTGCAACGCAAGCGGAAATCTCCAAAGCCGCAAGACTCGTGAAAGTAATGTTTCCTCGTTTTAAACGTAGTTATCGATTTACCAATCGTTTGATTGTTATCACACGTTAGTTCGCTTATCGCGGATACTACACCAGAAGAAACCAGAAGATCGATGCTCGTAAGATCGCGTGATTGCGTGACGTCGCGAATACGAATTTACATTTGATTCGACGTTGACGATGTTCGCAGCGGAAGCGAAAGAGGAGCCTCCGAAGAAGGATGAACGTATACTGGAGCCTGTGGAGGCTGTTCAAGCAGTTGCTTGGATGGAGATGATGTACAATGATTCCGGATTAATGTTGGAAAAGGCTCACGAGGCTGCTTCGATTATCCAAGTGCTCGCACGAAACGACTCAGTCCTCTTACTCTCTTTCTTCACTGTCTGACATTTTTCTTTCTTGTCTCGCAGAGAGCTTACAAAAGGTATCGCGCGAAAAAACATAGCTACGACGTGCAACAATTGGAGACGACGAAGACAATGGTCACCGAAGCTGTCCTCGACACGGTGCACCGCAAGATTTTCGAGAAGGTCACCTCCCGCGATGATATCCCCAAGGAGTATGGCACGCGGGAGGAAATGATGGCCGCGAGCACGAAACTTCAGCTTGCTTTCAAAGAGCAAATGAGAAAGACGTATTTAATAAAAGAAGGTATCAAAGTACACAAAGTGTAAATTTACCGGTTTTTTTTTTTTTTAGTAAATAACTATTTAAAAATTAGCTACCGTTATCGATGCTGAATTTCCATCGATGCTTCGAAATCTTAATTAATTAAACTTAATTAAACATCTGCAGTTTTAATTTGCACTAGGTGACTTAGAAATTGACGAAGACGAGGAGGATGAGGAAGATTACAAGGAGCGAGGTACACTGTAAAATCTCGTTTAAAAAAAATGAACATTTCTTTCAGAGAGGAATTTAAGTTGTTTAGTTAAAACAGAAGCAAAGAAAGTCGCGGCCACTGAACCACAGCTTAAACCTAAGTATCGCCCAGTAGAACCAAAGGTTCTACCGTCCGAAACGGAAGAACCATTAACAGAAGAAGAGATGGATGAAATTACAGAGCCGTTGATGGATGAAATTACGAGCCCGGAATTAGAATCAGAACCCGAAATAGATCGTCCAGAACTTGTCGAAGAAATCGAGGCTGATGAAAAAGGTGTGCTGACGACAATTTTGTATACTGTAGCGCGTCAATTAATAATGAAATCCTTACAGTACGTGAGACGGAAGAAGACGAGGAGAGGGAAGAGGAAGAAGACGAGAAATTAGAAGAAACGGAGAAGAAAGATGAAAAATTAGAAGAAGAAACAGGGACGGAGGAAGAGCAGGAAGAAGAATAGAAGTTGAAGAAAAGGAACAAAAAGCAGAGATGGCGTAGGAGGAGAAAAAGAGACAGAAGAGAAGCCAAATGATGCCCAAGAGGCTGGCGGTACAGCGCACGTTGTGGCAGAATGATATAAATGCGCTCGTTTATTAACTTTATTAAAGCAATATACTTCCAAAATAAGTTTATTAACTTTATTAGCGCAATATACTTTAAAAAATAAGCGTCCGGAGGGGCGACGGCGCGCCATGAGCCTCAAGATTGAAGTTCTATCCTTTTCACTCTCTTTTGCGTGCGATGAAAATTATAACGAAAATCCGTTTCCCAAAAACTTTATAGCGGCTTTAATGAAAATTTTTTACATACATATAGTGTATAAAATAGGCATGTACGCTATTTTTGTATCTTCTCGAATTTCTTGGTAAATAATAACCAATAAACAGCAGCCAGCTATCGTGTGTAAAAAAAAAAAAAACAAAATAAGTAGCCAACGAACGTGTGGACTGAGTTGATGTATAAGTACGAAAACTTAGTACGAAATAGCCGGCGCTTGAAGCGAGTACTTCACCGTGAATTTAAAACGTGTGTCTCCACGGTGTGCCTTTCGCTGAACAACAAGTACCAGTCTTCATTAAACGAGACTTCAGGTTTTTGAATTGATTGCACTCCCCCTCCGTGAAGATCGGGCCGCAGCCGTGTCTGCACGTTCTCCCTATCGACGCACGACGATTGTCCCGGAAACGGCATTTATTGCCGCCCGAATATTTGTCCCCTTGTTTCACGATTTCATCCAGTTGACAACTGGTTTCCGAGGTGAACGATTTATCGCAGCATTCGTCTTTAGCTGGTTCGCACGGGAATTCAGCGGCGTCGAGAGCCTTGTGCTTGCATTTCTTGTTGGTCTTGTACTTTTCCACCAAAATACACAAAGAGTCCTTGTGATTGATCGAGGCCACGGAATCGTCCGGTTCCTCGTCGTTCTGTTCCTGCACCGTCGAAATCTTTTCTGAATCCTTCGCGCAACAGCTGTGATTGCAGACGGAGTCGCGCGTGGCGTGCTCCTTGTGGCAACAATTTCTCCGATTGTTTGCGAAGTTCGAGGAGCAGAGGCACGTGTCTGACGCGAGACGCTTTTCCTTTGATGAGCAGCTGCTGGGGAAAAATTTAAATAAAACGTTAGCCCGCGTAGCAATTCTGTAGATGATTCTGACGTTCTCTTCTGTGAATTTAATTCTATTAACTTGCTGTGCTCGTTGTCACAACGATGATGGCAATGATCGTGAGAGTGGCAGCAATGATGACGATTCTGACGACAGCAATCTCGATGAGGTTGTAGAAGATCAAGAGTCGAATGTTTGGCACAGTGGAAGTGGCAGGCTCGCGGAATACTAGACGACGATGGATGGTTATCCTTCTGCGAGGCGAACGTGCACCGTGAATTTCGGTGATGTGATCTCTCTCCTCTTCTTTCGACATTGCACTCGTGCACGGAATTGTTGCAATCTTGAACGAAATAGAATTATCGAGGCAATAACTCGCGACAACCACGCAATAACTGCGAATTCGAAGTAGAAACGCGAAGAACTTCGACCTACTTCGCTTCTCGGACGAGTCGCTACTTTTAACGTTGTCCACTTCATTCTGATCGCGGCCGTACAGAAGATTAACCGAATCCAATTTGGAAGTTTCTCTCGGGCTTCGTCTTCGTGGATAGCAATATGAACCGCCATTAGAATTCCGAGGCTCCATTGTGAAACTTTTCATTCCTTTCGCGTTACAACTAAAAAAAGAAAAGAAACCGAAAACAAGCACGTGTTGGTTCTTTACACTTTTCGACGCAGCGAAACTGTTTAACGATCATAGCGATCGTCGTTATTCGAAAAAAAAAAAAAAAAATGACAAAAAGAAAAATTAGAATTTTCAGTCACTTCGTAAATCTCTATTTGCAAAAAAAAGTGACAGCAATGTATTTCTAATATTCCGGAAATTGTTTGAATTTAAAGATTTTAACGCAATAGAAAATTACATTACGATTAATTTAATACCGATACTACTTTTCTCTCTGAATAATCTAAATCATGAATAATTTCGGTACTGTGCAATTCGAGTTGTAATTCTATAATTTAATTCAGAGTATCTCTCCGCTGGCACATAACAAAATCAACTATTCAAATTAAATTACAATTTAGTACACTTGATATAATTATACGTTTCGCGAAAATTGCTGCAATAATCTCTGATACTTGTCCGAAAATATCTCGTCGAATTAAAGCGTTTGCAACGATCGATTCCTGCGTGCAAAATGCGCAGTACCTTTCGACTTGCTCCGATTTAAAGAATTCGCTTTTCTGCGTGATCCCATTGTGCTCTTTGCTCGGAACGATATCGAGCGCATCTCCAGCGTTGCATTGATCGTTACGTTTACGGCAACAACTGCAGATTATCGGTTTCTGGGGTGAGTTTCCCTTGATCGGGCCACTTTCGCCGCACTCATCGTTCCAAAATGTCTTTCCTTCGTTGCGACTCGACCTTGCGTTTGAACAATTTCTCGGTGGAAACGGCAAGTTTCCTTGATCGTTTGCCTCCTCGTTTCCGCTGACGTTTTCTATCTGATTCCAGCATATTGTCAAAGAGATATAATTTTAGTAGGAAAAGGTCACTGAGAAAGAGCTACGAGGCTCTTTAATTGTTTGAAAGTTCCTAAGATCGGATCACTGAATGACAAATGATAAGAATACACGTTCGGATCTATAACCTAATCCGGTGTAATGTAAAAAGGACACGAACGTTGAGAAGAATTTTAGCACACCAACAAGCGTATAATTACGTTATCGAATTTTGTTGTGTCCTCCGCGTTGCTGTACAGACCAAAATTTTTTGGGAATTTACGTCGAGCTCGACGAAATGCCATCGCGGCTGCGACCAATTGATGCGAGGATGACGGACAAATCTGGGACATGGTCTAAAGAAAAGAAAAAAGAAAGGTCTTACATGAACCGATTCGAATATTTCCCGAATTTAAAAAAGATCCAATTTGTCATTCGGAGTAATTGGTTAAGTTTACTATGGGAGAAAGAAGATAATTGACGTTGAAGCGAGTCGCGCTATTTCACGAGTAATTTGCGTACTATCGAATTCGATTCTCTTATCGATGCGAACAATCCGAAAAACCAAGCAATAACTAACGACAGTCGTCTTTCTTATAAATTTAACTTCTTCCGTTCAATATTTTATTCGTGAAACTGGAACTGTTGTATTAAAACTTTTTATTAAAATAAGCTCAGACATTTTAAAGCAGCCTGCTTGAAACGTACAGTATTCGTACAAAATCTAAGAGTTTTCTGTTAATTGGCCGGGGTACCGGCACGATTTTACGATACCCGATTCTATTACAGTCTTTAGTGCACAGTTGTGCACTCGGTATAATGGTAGACAATTCCGGTAGCGTACGGCTTCATTGGATTTGTATTAAACAGAGTTTCGCGCAGTATGAAAACGTAGGCCAATATTCGATCACCGCACGTATCGCATTAAAGCGTTTAACGACTTTAATTAGAATGATAGCCAATTGGTAGCAAAGACAAATCTGTTTCAACAACATCCAATGTGCGAATTGAGCACTAAATCTTGTTAATGTTCGTGTCTCGCTACGATGTATAATCATAAAACGGATCTGTTAATTCGAAGCTTTTATTATACGTGATATCGGATAATCATTAACTTAAGGTTTTATCAGTAAAATAAATTCGGAATGCCATTAAAGTGTAAGTGGAGATCATAACAAAGGGAAATTAGATTTCTCCCCGATGTCGTTTCCACTCTTAAGGAAAATTTCATGGCTATTTTTACTGAACCGCAATACTTACCCTAAAAAAAATATTAAAAATAGACGAGCGTAATAAGAACGAATCTCATGATCGATAATTAACAAAGTTTCTCGTTATTAGAATTTTAATTAATAACGTTGAAATATCTGGAAAATATCCGAAAATCTGAACTTTGGAAGTTAATTAAAATCTGCTGGCGATTGAAATGGTCCCAAAATTCTTGTATTTGGTATCTATAGCAAAATAAAGACAGTTGTGATTTAAAATAACAAAACAGAGACAGTTGTAATTTAAAATAATAGCAGCTATTCCACAGTAACCATTACCGTATATAGAGTCAACTACTTTATTTCTTGCGAATGTTCCAAGCTAGCCTGATGTATAAATCGTTTGTTCCAAGTCGTTTCCATAAATTATATCATGGCGAATCCTTGACTTATCATGTCCATACACCAAGTCAATACACCAAGAATTTTATAGAGACTACAATTCCCATTGGTATGATCATTCATTGTAGATAGAAGCAGCTTGTCAGTTGGTGCGGCTGATATAAGGGATAATGCGCAATTGCGCAATCAGGAGCTCGATATACTACCCCATTTGGCAATAAATTGCAATAAGAGCTACAAAGGAACATGCTTCCTTCTAAATAAATTACTAGAAGCACTTCGAAAAATGTAGTATCGGATGTTGATACTGGTTAGACGCGTAAAGAGACGCGAAAGAGAATATCCAAAAGAATTGAGATTAAATTAATTTATTCAAAAAATGATGTTCCATCGGAAAATATATTTCTATAATTAAATCATAAAAACAATAACTTAACCCATTCGAGCTTGAAGCTTTTCGCTTATAATAATAAAATATACCGCATCAAGAATTATTTCTTGGCCCTATATTTACTTAATCTTTAAATCAAAAATTACTATAGCAGTAAATTAATTAATAGATTGTACTGTAGCAGTAAATTAATTAATGTACAATTTTTCGCAACTCTGTATGAAAATCACGGCAAACTTTCACGCGATTTTAATATCAACACCTCGTGAGATTAGAGGCAACAATTCATTCATTGTTTGTGTACGAACTCGTAAATAGATATACGTGTAAAGTGTGCCGACAACGAAAGAAGAAATAGACATCTACATGACAAGTTCGAGACAGTTCTAGTTACGTAATTACGTACTATGAATACAAAAAATTATATCTCTAAATCCTCGTGTGGTTATGTGTGTGCGTGAATACTAAAAGCATTTCTTGAAACTAATCAGAATCATTTCTTATTAAACATCCGCAATGATTACTCTTCCTCGCAAATTGTGATTCACACTATCTCTGCCTGCATTACATAGTTAGGTATCATTGATCGAATTCTTTATCTCACTGAATGTATGAATTGTCCGATCATAACGTGGCATTTATAAATTAGTTACTATCATTCGCTAACTAAGCTTTATTTATAGTGAATGTCTCACTATAAATAATTTGTAACATATACACATTTTCTTTCTTTTTTTACAGAACAGCATCTTTGCAGCGACACATTCACAACGAATAGTTAAATTATAATTAACTATCACAAGGAACAATTCGATGAAGATAACATAATGCAATACCATCCATTTGCGTTCGTTATGCTTCTCAGAATCAGTTACATTCGTATAAGTATTATTGATTGAACGGTGTGAAATCGGACGGACTGCATCAGCTATCTTTAAAGATAAATTACGTTATTCGTATTGTATCATAATTTAATTCATCCACGGTGGACAGGAAGTCGGTGGTTGATATGTCTGAGAAATTGGCACCTGATAATGCTGCACGTTTTGAGGAGGATACTGCGGTCGCTGCTGATGATGCGGCGGTGGTGGTGGCGGTGGATTGCAAATGGATTGCATCAATGGGTGTGAATTGTAAGGGGGAGGTTTTGTTGTATACGGTGGCATTTGATTATACTCGACATTCAACGGATGCTCCAATATCGCATTTTGTACAGGCGAACGATTACCTTCAATGTGTCCTGGATAATTACGAAAAATATTTAATCATTATTTCATACACCATGGATTATATTGACAAATTATTATTTTGAATAATTTGAAAACCACACCAATCCAACCATAGAGTTTTAAAAACTTTTCTTAAATATTTATTAGAGATAATACGATGTGTTCCATATTAAAATCAAGTCGTAATCATGTGGATTTTATTTACAAACATTTACAACTATACAATTATCTACAGTATCGTTATTCGTTGTGAATACCTCTGGGTCTAATTTGTGGTGGTGGCATATTTGTTGGAGGTAATGTGGGACACACTCCTTGATGCTCTCCATCTCTTGGCATTGGCGGTGGTCTGCCCCATGGAACTCTAACATGGTGTGTTTGCCACGGGGCCTGTGGTGGAAGTGAAGGAGGCAAAGGTGGTCCACTTCCAGGATGGATGTTTATTGAATCTCCTATCGGATTTTGCTCATTTCCTATTACAGAAATGTATACAAAATCTATATAAAGAATATAAGAATAAATATATCAGAACAAATGTTAAATATACCTGTATTTATGCCTGCAGTTTTTTGATCCAAGCTGCGTTTTTCACCTAAATAATGAAAATTCATGAAATGAAATAAAACGATGTGAAGCAACTATATATAAAATGTATTATAAAATTAAATATGGTAAATAACGTGATGAAATATTGTAATACTATTATTAATTCATTAAATTAAATATAGAAATGAAATTATAACATCCTTTCCTTTCACTTACAACTCAAGCTATTTGTTAATATGCCGATTAAAATATTAGTTACAGTATATTATATTTTATAGTATATACAGTATATTATATTTTCCTACTGATGCTGTTTAGTTTTTTGCTTAAATCAATAGTGCAATGATTAATATTCTAAGAATTTTTTAAAGTTCTACAGAACACAGTAACAATATTTCACGCTGTTCACCATTTAACAAAGAAAAAGATAGTGATTATGACGCTAAATGCATCTGGAAATGTGTAACAAATACATATATCCGTGGTACCAAGTTATAATTACTGTAGTGCCTTCTTGGTCTATATTGTTTACTTAAGTTATTATCTGCAAAATAAAACTTATTATTAAAAATTTTTTCTGCATCATCTAAATTCCTGATTAAAATCATCCATCGGATTGTTACTGGATTCACTGCAAAATAAATAATTAAATCAATTGCATATAGTTACTTAGCAGATTCCAACATTCTTATTCTGTAAATTTTGTACACGTTTATAGAAAAAAACTACATTAAATAATTCGTAAATCATTATTAACGTCAATATAACAATGTACTGCTACTCCATGTATTCACATGTCCAGCTTCATCTGACGTCTGATTTCAAGATATCCTTGATATTTTGATATTTAAACTTAAAATACTCATATTAAAACATAGCATTTCAACAGAATACGAATCATAATAATTATAGTTAAACTGGTTAAAAGTACTGAGATACAAAATCACTGAAATACAAAATCACTTCATTGCACAGAGATCTGAAAACACATATACATACTTTAATAAAAAATATATGAAGAAGCATTAAAATTAGGATGCTTAAGTTAACTATTTTAATTATATAATATAATATAGCGAAAGTTTTGTTAATTCTAAATAATAACAAATAAAGATAAATGGAAAGCAATCTACGCTGTGGTATCATAAACGTCGTAGACAATTCCAGAAGTCTATCTGCAAAGTGTTTGAATGAGTACATGAAAAAGCGAATCGCTAGACATATGGATTAAGAATAAGGAGAAATTTGTACTGTTTAGTAAAAAATATATTTACAATAAATAATGTACTACAAGCTAAGAGTATTGAGAAACAATGCTAGATACCCATCTGAAATAAAAATATAAATACAAAATTGAGTTACAAATATAAAAATTATTAAATCTGACCATTTCATATAATAAAATTAAAATATCTATTTTAAAAATATACATGTATATTATTAATACATTTAACACATTTGACTTAATTACTATTATTTATAAAGTAATAAATTCGTGTTAATTTTCAAAAGGTATCCAGCACTCTTTCACCTTGAATACTCTTAGTTACAGACCTGGATGTGGAGGTGGCATTAGCAGCTTGTTTCGATCTCCATGAGGTAGGCCCGCAGCTGTCGGTGATGGACCATGTAAGACTTGCTGCTGCCGATCACCTTCTCTGCTTAAACAATTCAGTTTCAAATTATTAATTCACAATCTATGATTATAAAGATAAACATTTCAAAATTTAAGCAAATATCACCTGATGCACAGCCATGGATTTTTCTGAAATGTTAAAAGCACCTGGTATCTCCAGGTCATAGTTAATGATACCAAACTTTGTGTAAAAAGAACTTAATTGTGTTATAACTTAATAGCACAGAATATTATAATTCTAGAATTAGATCCAACTTATAGACTGTAATTATATTTTCTAATTAGAATTATTATTTTACTTAAGAATAGAAGTATATGTTTAAAATTTACTGAAAAAGTTTACCAAAAGAAATACACAAATACATAAATCTTTTTTCTCAACATAATATTCTGTGAAAAAATTAGTTATATTCACAATCATTTACTTTAAATAACCTGATTATCTCTGATTATCAGATCCATTTTCATGCTAATTTTATAATTTCTTTTTACAAATAAAACAGTTGAAAATAGTTTGATTGTGAATATATAAACTTTTACCAAATTATAGCTTGCAAGAATAAATCGATGTTCCTTACTCCGTATTATCAAACATTTTTTTTATCTTTATTTATTTATTTTTTCTTTCTAATTATAAATTTTTGAACAGTAAGGAACAACTAAAAAATTTCCTGCTATCTATTAAGTTTGGTACATCTTGATCAAAGCAGGTTTCTGAAAAAAATTCAATTTTACTGCACTGCACGTGTTTAAGCTTACTATAATATAAAATAAAATGACTATATATAAGTTATAATTTTCATATCTAAGCAATGAATTATTAAGCAGCTTTCACAAAATTAGAAATTCCATCACAGTTGGTAGTAATACACAATGTAATTGCAAACATTGAACGCGTATACTTAAACGTATTTCTTTTTCAGCTTTAATATTAATCAGACACTATAAATAAACATGTTCATTTTGTAATTTAAATACGTATTTAAATATAATTGAGGTTCATTAAACCTGCTTTATTCGCCCAATAAATTTTTATGTTCTCGCATATTGCAAGAAATTTCAACTTATGTATAATTAGAATAACTACAACTAATAGAACTAAAAATTTTAATGATTTTACTTACCCTGGTCCATGACGCTGAGCAGGTAGAGGACCACATTGATAAGGTGATGCTTCCTGTTTTTAATATAAATTTTTAATATTTTACATAATAGTAAATATTTCAGTTTATCAGAAATGAACTCTAAAAACTAACCGGATTTGTTTCAACATCTGAAAATCTCCTTTTTATACCATGAGATTTTTGTTCTGGGGAATCAGGCTTTTGCTCAAATTGTTGAGGTGGTGGTTGAACCGTATAGTGTACTTGAGGTGGTATATGACCATTTTGATACTGCATATGCTGTGCATGATACTGTATCTGAGCTTGAACTTGTGGTGGAGGTACATTATGTAAAGGTATATTTGCAGGAGGCATCTGAACCTATTAAATTTTACATTTTTACTAATGTACATTTTAATTTATAAAAATATATAAATACTATAACGTCACCTGCAGTTGACCCTGCGACTGCAACATTTGTTGCGGCTGTTGTGCTTGATATAGCCACGGAGCATTTTGTGAAGGAGGTGCTTGCGTTGGCGGTGGAATACTGGTAAGAACGTTCATAGAATTTGACATTTGAGCAGGTGGTGGTACAATTTGTGGAGGTGGTACCGGTTGTGGTTGTGGTCCTTGATCTACTGGTCCTTCTTGTTGATGTTGAACCTCACTTCCAGGAGGAAGAGGATGTTGTTGAGGATGTTGAGGCGATTGAGCATTAGGGACTAAAAAAGTTTGCGTAGACGGAGGAGGTACTTGTAAATGAAACTGAGGAGCATGACCTTCAAACTGTGGTGGTAACATATGTTGAGCCACAGGCTGCGATTGTTCATGGTTTTGCTGCAACTGTGGTGGAACAATATGCTCCCCAGGTTGTAACACAAACTGTGCTTGTGATTGTGATGCAGATGCCTGTACTTGCTGATATTGTATTTGGTAAGTTTGTGGTACTGGAGGTGGTGGTTGATTCGGAGGGAAGTTTGGCGGAGGAAAATGAAGATGCAATAATGGTGGAGGTGGTTGTTGAGTTATGTTAATTGGAGTTGTCGGAGGTGGCTGTTGTAAATTCACGTTGACAGCTTCGATTATTCCTTGTGGCGGTGTAGATGGCCTTTGTACATTTGGTTGTGTATAAACATAAGAAACCGCACCACTAACTGGCGCACTACTACTTGTAATAAAATTTTGTTGAGCTGGACTCTGTGGTGGTGGCTGACTCATAACATACATTTGGGCTACAGGTTGTGGTGATGATTGCGATCCAGGTTGAATCCCTTGAATTTGTAGTGGTTGTCCAGGATGAATCTGATATTGCACTTGGCTTACTGTTGATGGAGGACCAATTAATTGAACTTGGCCAACTGGTGGAGGAGGCATAAATGTTTGTATTTCCTTGAAAAAAAAGAGACAAATATTACGTTTAATAGTTATTAGATAAATCTATAAATTTATATATTACCTGTGCTTGTGGTGGTGGTACCAATGGTCCAGAATGAGGTGGAATGTGTACTCCAGGTGGAGGAACTGTTATGCCAGAGCCTGGTGCACCAGTTACTGTAGCAGTGAGAATAGTTGCTGGCAACGTTACTACATTACTTTGAGGGTGTTGTATAATATCTGTTAAAAATGGTTTGTAATAGTTACAGACAGAATTTCTAATAGCCATAAATTGTTGATGTATACACTCTACCTTGATGCTGTATAGTAACTACATTAGGCTGTCCCAAAGTACCAATATTCATGGTTTGAAATTGTGCTATAAAAAATAAAAATGATAAATGAAAATGTATAATTGCATTTATTATTTATAAAATGTAATAATGATTCATACTTTGTGGCATTTGTGACTGTTCTATAACTTGCTGTGATTGCACTGGTGGTGGTTGTTGTTGTATATATGATTGTAATTCCGATTGCATTGTTTGAATTAAATTAATTGCTAATTGTTTTGCATTTTGTAATGCTTCTGGCTTTGGATGCCTATACGAATAAAAATTATAATATAATTCATCATTTCAGTATTATTATACAAAGAATATAGAATGTAGAAATCATCTTACTCTATACACAAATGCAATGGTTCTGGAGATTCAGTGCCTAAAACAGGATCAATAAATTGTGACCCTCTACCTCTTAAAGTTATATTTGCACCTGTTTCACCCCTAATGTATAATAGATTTGCTCCACCTGCACCTATAATTCTACCTCTTAAATCAAATCCTTCTGGAGCATTTTCTATCCCAACACAAATCTTTTCCTGTAAAAATAATAATGATAACGAAAAATTTAGATCATATACATACATTCAATATTACATAAAAGTAGTACATACCACAGATGTAACTCCGGAATGTAAACTCATAAGAGGTGGCGGTGCATTAGTAAATCTACTTGGCCTGTTCAAAGAACTTTGATGCTCTGTTTTAATAATTTCATTAATTTTTTGTATAGCAGCTAAAAATAAAATACTCTTAAATTATGAACAATTTACAAAAGAGAACCAAAAAAAAAATGCAACGTACAATCTACATTATGTTTTGCATGCCCCTGTATATAAAGATACAAAGGCCTTTCATTAGGACAGCGTAATTTCTCTTGTTCTGTCATAAAACGTCCACGCGTTGAAACAGTGGCACCTAAAAGTTATTTACCATATTGCAATATAAATACTTATTACACAAATGCAACGTTCTATACAAATACAAATAAGAGATCTTAATCAAAATATACCTGAGTAAGAATTAATTTCATCCTGTATGTAACCCTTTGTAAGCAATGTGCGGGCACTAGGTGGTATTTCATTAATTTCAAACTCTGATGTATATGTCTCCCCATTTTTGAAAGTTGCATTTGAAGTTGTTAACTATTTGTTATGGAAAGTAAATTAACTTGGTGGATACTTATATCGAAATTAAATTCTTTTACGAACATACCTTATTGTTTGAATCAGAACCTCTCAGTTTTCCCTTAGCCATAAGGATAAAATATGTACAGCCTTGTCAAATATCTTTTTTTTCATAACGTCAACGCTACGATTATCATTCGAACATCTTTCCACTGTATTAAAAAAAATTAATGAATGACTACTGCAATATTTCTTTTCCTGGTTGTAAATAAGTCACGTAAATGGTACACGTAAATTTTAGGTTATGATATATAGTAATAAATCTCCAATTAGGCACCAATGATTTAAACTTTATCACACGTACCGTTATTTAATAAAATCCAATAGTGATTTACAATTTCACATAATAAATACAAGATTAAAATAGTTAACAGTGAATTAATTTTGAACCGATTTTGCAAAATTATTAATCGGTACTACAAATCACTTACTACCATTTTTTAATACTCCATCGTTGTGTGAAACGATATGACAGTGACAAACTTGCGCGTATTAGATAAAGTTGCCATGTTAATTTTATATACATATATGAAAAACAAAAGATTATATAACTAAATAAGTAATATTTTAATTTCTACAAGTATTTAGAATGTATATATAATATATACAAATATAAATGTACTATTAATTGAATTTTTAATCCTAAATCTGAGAAAAATATATAATAAATTATTGTAGATTTTGTTCCCTAAATTAAAATTGTACATAAAGTAATAGAAAAATAATTTAAAAAAAAAAATTTCAAGGTGAAGGAAGAAATAATGCAAGAAACTTTTTATTGAATAAATAGTTTATTTCTTTCGTGATAATACGTGCATCTTCTTAATTTGTAATATAAATAATTAGTTACATACCATCGACAAAAATATCACGCCGACAAATATACTTCGTTTATTGTGCAAATATAAATAAATTATATTTGACTATTTTGCGCATTTAATTATTTATAAAGGACAAACTAAAAAAATCCATTATCTAGTATTGTAACAAAAAAAATGCGTTTATGTTCCATAGTGTTACGTTTACAACTCCTAAATTCGAATAATACTAAAAAAATAACGATATATTGCTTCTAGTTAATTACATATATATATATATATATATATAGCTTTCTACCAAAAGTTATATATGTTTTTATTAATAATTTTTCTAAAAAATATTTGTCAAGCTTTAAACTGTATTACATTGTTTCTTCATGCAGAATATTAACAATTTTGAGTATTAATTAAATAATTTTTACATTATTTTATATATTTCTCAAAAAAGAAATTGCTAAAGAGAAAGATTTCTTAAACAATGACAATAAGAATCCATCTATTATTTCTTTATGCAAAGCTTAATTATTGTATGTATAAATATACCACTCATGTACATATTGTTTGAAGTAATAGAAAAATAGATTGTCCTTAGTCATAAATATATTAATATTTGTAACTTACTCAATGTATGGCTATCTTCTTCAAACTTACATTTTGAAGAAATTAACCATTAAGATAATTAATTAAAAATAAGTCATTTACTTTAATTTTAAATTTACATCAGTGGCACGAATCAGTCTCTTCTCCCAATAAGGCCCTTTTGAAATCTACAAATGTCACTTTCAATATTCTCAATTAGATATAAAACATCTTTCTGCTTGCAGTACAGAGTTTAAAAAACTTTCAAATATACTCATTATTGAAAAAATTGCACTCAGTTGTAATAAAATACATAATTGACAAAGAAACTGACATATAACATTTGTTATACAACACAATTTAATGTAATAAGAGTTGAAAAACAATGAAGCTGATAAAAAGGAATGTCGTTATTATGTACATGAGTTATTAAGTATAAAATATAAGCTCAGGAATTTGTCCTTCATCAGTAGATGTTCCATTATTATCTCCAGCTTCAGTACTAAATTCAAACTTAACTTTTCCATTCCCGGAATCACTATCCACCGTGACTGTTTTTAAACCCTTAGTTCCAAAATGAGAATAAGGACCCTATAATTGCAATGCACAATGACAATCAATCTAGCCGGAGATAAACTGACATACTGACCTTAAATGTTGCTGATGCAGTATAAATCGTATTTGGTAAAATTTCTGCTAATTCTTTAAACATTAAACGATAAGTATATTTTGAACCATCACAGCTAAAACTTGTTGAATTTGTAGCAATCACTTTTCCAGAAGCAGTATGTATTAATTCTATTAGTACTTCGTATATCGCCGGGCCGTGCATGCTACCATAGACACCATAGCCAATAAGAAATATGCGTCTATCGACGCTAAATCTAAAAAAAAAAAAAAAAAATGAAAAGTTAAATTATATAAAATATTATAAACATGAAGTTCGCATTACATTTTATCCTAAAAATCACCTTATACGATCACTTGTCCCGTGATATCCCCATCTACTTTTAGTATGTTGAAATCTACATACAGTTTGCTCCTTACCAGTCATGCGACAGCGTCGCATTGTTTGAAATCCTACCACTGGTTTGGGATTTAATATAAAATATGAAAATAAAGAAAGAACCTAAAACACCCAATCTTTAAATAAGTAATTTCACACACATATAGAGTACATATAAAATATTATAATTAATGCCAACCTCTGAATAATTAAGAAGTCCAGATTGTGCTGGGCCAGCGGTAAATTCTTCTTTTGACATTAAAGGAAAACGAATTAATGAGAAAGCACTACCCAAAACAAATCGCTGATTTTCAGGTGTAACTGGCAGACGATGTCTTATGCATTCTGCTTCTGACCATCTGTACAAAAAAAATAAATATACATATATACTTATATATTAAGTTCCAGATATAGTTTATGTATATCATATTCTTATACCTTAAAACTGCTTGGAATATTTTAGATTCTCTAACACGAAGAGTATCTCTTTCCAAAACAATTTTTAGCGTATCAATATCAATATCTGTAAATCCATCAGCATTTAAAGCTGCCGTAGTAAATCTATCAATAGTATCTAAACATACTGCAGCCAATTGTGGCTCGTCGAAAAGTCGAGCTTGTGTTAAAAGCAAGAATGCATTATCACTGGTTAAATTATTTTTCAAATAATCTACGCAGTGCTTCTCTAAAGCAGACACTGCATATTTTTTTGCAGTATATAACGTAGTCATCACAGTTTCAGGATCTATCTGTATTTCATCTGTATATAAAAAAAGAAGCACTGCCAAGAAAGCAGCAGGTTCTACATCAGGTACTTCTATTTCTGAAGAATCTGTCGCAAGTGTTCCATTAAACATTGCATCGAAAACAGCACTTCCAGAGGATAAGACTAGTTTATGAGCTGGTATACGCTGCTTCTGAGCTCCCCTTCCTACTATAAAGCTTACATCCGACAATATTTCATTATTGAACAGAAAAACAATTCTCTCGCGCATCGTTGCTTTTGTACCCTGCCAATTGTAAGCTACTGTTGCTTGACCATTCGTAGATGTGTTTTCCAAGGCAGCTGTATCTTGAGATCTTCCTTCCAAATGCAACGTATTTGCTACATTCGTCGGAGGCCTACTGGAAAATTAACGTCAACAGAATTATGGAAATGTTCGCAAAAATATCGTGATTTAATTCATATGGAAATTATGAACTAGCTTTAAAAGACTCGACAAAGTACTTACTTATCGACATTCGAAGACGAGGATTCTCCGGCTCTTGCTGTCGACGAAGTTGGTTGATCTTCGTCGCAAACGAAATTAAGGGCACGCCTGGCACGTGAAAGGATAACATTGCCGATAGGTTGAGTATTTCGTACAGATTCTTGAGAGGAATCGCCAGACGTGGCGAGATTTACATTTTGTTGAGGCTCGTCGCCGTCTTCTTGGCCTAAACGTAAATTGTGCAGTTTTGACACGACAGTTGGCACATCACTCAAGGAAGATTCCGAGGACATTTTTGCGCAATGAAATGGATTATTTTTTGATGTACGGCTCCGTTTCATTGAATTGTTGCGAATCGTGTCAACGAAGACGGCACGATCGTTTATATCAGTTCATTCGTCTTATTATGTTCATTTAACGCTCTGTACAGACAAATATCGAAAGGTTGAACATGAACAACATTCGAAGGAATTGACCAAAGACAGAATGTATGTGTCATCGCATGAAAGAAATTTTTTTACCTATTCACTCTGGCATGTGCAACTCGCAGCAGCTATATGCATGCGTTTTCGTGAATGGCACTTGAACAGAAACAAGTTTTGAAGTAAATTTCCCTTGCCATAGACTATACCATAGCTAACACTACACGTTCAAATTTGAATGGGATACATTTGAAAGCATTCGAGATAACTGCAAATTAATCGCGTGAAAACATAATATTATTACAAAAAATTTATTACATCTCTCGCAATTCCAATATAAAATTGTTCGATTCAATTAGTCGAATTTGTGATTTTTTTTTATACGTTTATTTTACAAGCGAAGTAGAAGGTAAAGCTAAGGTCTAATTATGAAGGAAAAGCTGGAAAAGTTTAAGAATTGCAGCACTAAATTGGTTTTTTTTACCAATGAAAATTTGATCAATTTATGGATACTGAAATACTAACGCCACGTAGCGGTAGAACAATGGAACTAAACATTATTTCTGTCCTTGTCGAATATTGTTGCTTTTCTTATCTATCCAACAGAATACTCTGATCCATTGAATAAAAATTTTAAATCTTCATGCAAGTATTTTAAAGATGGAATAAAATACAGGAAGAAAGATTAGAGCCTGAAAACATACAACTGCAAAAATTCATCATTAATCAAGCTCAATTAGCTTTTTATGCAAATAAAGCTTTGCTCGATTCGTAGATACTAGCACCGCATAACAGTGAAATGATGGAACTAATCGATATTTTTGTCCTTGTCCCACAGTAATGCGCTCCTTGTTTGAAAATAGTGCTGCCATCTAAGCCTCTTTCATTTTCAACCGAAACTAAAAGAGCAAATTGGAAAAATACGACAGATGGCAGAACATTACGTTTCCCGCTAGATAGTTTTAAACATTCCCGATATATGGCAGCACCTAGCTTATTCGTAGACAAGGAGAGCACTAGTGTTCATGAAGGATAGACTTATGTTGTGTGACAGACAAGGAGCACACTATTGTGCGATAAGGACAGAAATAGTATATAATTTGATAATTGAAATATTCATTAAAATTTAAAAAAAAAACTAATTTAGATTATAGATTAATTAGATCTTAAACATTTTTTCTATACTCTTTTTATATTAATACATGTATAAAAATGTACAAATACTATTAAACAAATCCAACAACTTCATGTCAAAATTGAGAAAGATATAATAAAATTTATGTTTTCACGCGAAAGAGATATGATTGGAGATACAAAAGCAATTATTTCATAGTTATCATATCGATTAACTAAAAACTTTGTAATGAAAAAAAAGAAAGACAGACTAAGGAATAGAGATATAAATCAATTACTGCATTCAGCGCAGGAAAAAGAAATAACGAATACGTTTTATAACAATTGTATTAATATCATTTATGTACAGTGTATACATGGCAGTACAGAAAATAAATCTGTAAACCTAATGCTTGATTATAATACATGAGTGTTATCAAGTTGAAACCACTTGTTAGAATATTAATACGACAAGTACAGATGGAAAAAAAAGAGAATATGCTTATTGGAAAGGTTCCTGCGCTAATGTGATTTACTATGGTACATTCATAAATATGTTAAATTGAAAAACGGGTATTATAATTCGTTCATTGCTTAATCTAACTAATACAACTTTATCTACTTAAGTACGACATTCCCGAACGTTTTTAATTCTTAAATCTAAGAATAATTATTTGTTTTATAATTTACATATTACATTAATATAACGCATAAAACGCATGTTGATGTTCATGTACTTTTCTATATATACAAAGCGACAGATAAATCAATGAAATACTATTAAAATAATGGCAGCTTTATATTAGTAACTTATGCGTTAAATTAATGTACACTTTTGTCCATATATACGTTTAAAAATTATCCTCGTATAAAAGTACTTACGTATCATTATATATATAAAATAAACTCTACTATTATCTGTTATCTCGTATTTTAGATTTTAGATTACACAACGAATTTCTATTCCTTTCGCCTTATCGCATTCAGATTTATTAATAATTGTCATGGTTACTAGCTAATGCGACGCTTCGTCCATCGCATCCTCTAATTCTCCTAGTCAGTGCTTTAAAAGATAAGACAGGCCTAATGGCATAATAGAACTTCAATACATTAAATAAATTTAAGTAGATTTCTGTTTGGTTCTCGTTATTCGCGTATAACGAATTATCGTAATATGCAGATCTATGAAACACAATGAAATTATCGATAAAATCTATAAATATCATAAAACCTACTATTTCCCTGTAATTTAAAAATAGATATAACTTCAAAATGTACATGCATCATAAGAGCGTACGATAATAACTGGCCGCAAGTGTTCTCCAATGTCAAATACAAATCTGGTCGAGACGTTCATCTGCTATTAACACGAAACAATATATCAAATTATACCGTGCCTCTTTTAGCATACGATTATACTTTCCTGACAATTTAGAAAACGCAGACATCAAACACTTTGCACGTTCAGCTCTTTGTATCGTAATATCAGTCTATCCACTATTATACCCACTCGAAGGAGATTCTACTGACATCGTTGTACTACTACATTTATTTTCACCGTCATCTAAAAATATCAATCTCTTATCAAAAACAAGCGGAATACAGTTTGGCGGAACCTCCTCTATCTTAATATATTAATACCTTATCACGTGATAAATACAATAATAGAAACAATCGTTCTAAAACAATCGCGATCCACGTCGATGATCCACTGGTAGAAACGACACAGGCTTCCATCGAGGCACTTTCAACGATAATATTGAACTCTTCCATTGGTAACATTTCGATCCTGTACAATCCGAGAAAAGAAAGAACACCTCGTTCACCGTGTTACAATTTATACAAATATCGCATCGGTTTGGAACGCGTTTCATGATTCTATCGGATGGTAAAGTTTCGACGGGTATTGTTCGTTGCTCGAGGCAATGCTCCTCTCATCGGTGGAATCGCGTGCACGGAGGTAGATCGATCTGTCCTGATTCTACGGTTGTACAGATCTCAGGTCTCCGGATCCAAGTCATGGTCCCTTGGCTTGCTCTTCTTGTATTTCTTTTTCTTCTTCGGCTTCGGCATGACCTCGCAGCTGCACCCACTTCGCACCTTAATGTAGTCCAACGTCCACATCGATCCACCCACCGTGTTTCCAGCGAACGTAGGGATCATACGTTCTCTGTGCCGATGCCTACCGTGTTCCTCCTTTCCGCCCTGTTGCGAGCAAAAATACTACCAATCAGCTACAACATGTACAGATTCTAAAAGCAACAGTGAAATCTAAATTTGTTCTTCTATGGATCGAAATTTGCAAGTTTTCGGTCGCCAATACTTTCGCCAAAATTTTACAGATGGTGAAAAAGAAGGAAAGAACTGGTTTAAAGAAAAGAAAGAATCAACGCCCAACGAACGCATCACACGCACCAAGACGCAATTCGCGAAAAGGCTAATGGAAACTAGATCGAGATCACTTTACATTACGTACCGTCGATCCAGAATTTTCAATAATAGCGTATGTGTATGAGAACTTCTGCACACATCTGGACTGGTTAGTGAACTTCCGGTCGATGAACCTGCACGGCTTGTCGAGGACGTCTGGCCTGCAGGAGTACTCGAAGAACCTCTGGGCGTTCTGGCCATCCCGATACAGCTGGACGTACATGTTTTCCCGATTTCGACCGCCGACCGGTTCCACCATTTCCTCTACCGTAGGGCAGCAATCCACTGGAAGGCCGTCCTCACCTCCTTCGTGTCGTAGAATCATGTTCATCTCTCGATAAGTCATCCGCCTGGTCGTGTCCTCCAAGGCCTGCGTCCTGAAACGTTCAGCCGAGATTCGAGAACGACCGAATTTGCCGACTTCGTCGAAATTCAAAGAATTTTCTAACCTAAAGAGAACGTGCAGAGCAGAGCGAATCGAGGGAGGCGACTGTCAAAGAAAAAAAAAGAAACGGAAACGTGGTTCTCCATTGTGTCGATGTGAATGCATCTGACGTGACGCTTACAGAAAATGATACTTGTAGAAGGAACATGCAGTAACATTTCACGCATGCTTCTGAAAACGGATGACTCGTGTCTAATAGAGCTGTTACTTACGAGATGCTCAGGTAGTTGAAACTACATAACTATTATTTTTACTCGTATTTTACTCGGATGTCCACGATGTAATTTTTATTTTATTTAAATAATAAAACAACGAAGCAATTATTATAAATTAGATATTTTTGTAGTAGGACTCGTTCGCCTTGAACCAACAATATTATCAATATCTCCAATACTCTTTCAGAACTGGCAAATACCGGTATACATAAATATTTTTCAATTTCAAGTTTTACCATTCTAGTGGATATAAATTATCGTTTATCGTAACGTAAATTACTCGAAACATCGAATAAAATTATACCGAGTATCCTGGTCATGCGACGAGTAATAACTCTAGCCTCAATTATCTCGTAAGATATCCGGATGCCACTAGCTCTGGCGTCTAACGTCAGACAGGAATAGAATACGGCGTGAAATCGTGGAAAAGCTGCTGGAGAATCGATAATTTCGCATTCATCTGTCGAACCTCTCTTGCACGAGTCATTAATAATAATTAAGACAGTTCGCGACAGGCAGGATAAATAATGGCGTAACGTCGAGGCGTGCAGGAGATATACGGGCGCCACGGTTGCTGATTGAAAATCGAAATTCAGCCATTCAGCGCGGAATAACGTCACTGGCATGTCGACACAAGTTGCAAGCTTGAACGACGCCAAGATACTTCGCCGGTCGTTCCTATCGAATGATTTACGATTCGTGACGAACGAAACGTGCCTTTTGTTGAAACGATTGTAACGACGAAAGGATGAAGTGAAAACTTACCAGCGAGAGATATGTCCCCTGTATGGATGTTCCCTGGTCTTACGAGACGAGGAGGATAACGTTAGGTTGTTGGCGGCAGCAAGCCGCGGGCACAGGACTGCGGTCAGCCAAACCACCTGCAAAAGGAAAGAAAAAAACATGTTGCATCGAATCTCTAATTCATCGTTGGTTTAGCGATCAAAGTGCTCGAAATTTATAAATTATTTTCACTGTGGAAAATTTATTTCTCGAGAACCTCGGAAATAAACGAAGGTCAACTTATATAAGAGCTAGAACTACCGACAAAAGACAAAAGGATAGAGAAACTTTATGACACAATGGAATATTTTTACAATTTTACGAAAAGTTATTTAAATCTTTGAAAATACACTGTTCCTACGTCAAACAAAACTTACAGATTGATCATTTTCAACCACTTTCGGTAGCTGTAGCGTGAAACTCTGGAACATCACAAGTTTTCAAATCCTAAAGTTCTAATCCCTAAATATCTACGATCGAATGTGACGCGATAAAGTGCTGTCTGAACTCTAGTTTTACAATTTCATCCAACTATCCATTGGGAGTGAGGACGTACGTAAATCATCGAGTACAACCAGTATAATTGAAGAAGGAAAAGCAACCGATAATCTTTCTCTCGAGACGTCGATAAAATTGAATTAAATGGCTTATAGCGCGTTACGGCCTTCTAATTCTTGGCGACAAGATATATATTCTGCAATTAAGTCGAAAGTCTCGGGGCAGAAGTGAGGAAGGAAGGAAGAGGAGGGAACGCGATCATGCGGAGCGAAGCTGGACGCCCGAGAGGCCTGTTTTGCATAAAAATTATAAGCCGAATTAATGTTTTCACCTTCGTAAACGCGTACCCGTGGCTCAATGCGCGCCGCGCTTCGCATCCGGCCGATGCGTGACTAACACAGTGGTTTATTGCACGTTAATACCGATCCGGTACCACCGGTACTTTCTCACGAGGTGCTCTCGACCCGCCCTTACAACCACCCAAACAACACGGTCATCCTGCCCGTGGTACGAAATTTTTTTGCATAAACTTTCGCTCGGGTCATTGCCTGAATCGTAATTAACTTGGCGAGTTGGAAAGCGAACGAGGTTTCTAAGAATTGATTAATCTTATTCGAGAAATTCGAGGGAAGAATGATACGAAGAGTGATATTTGATGAAACTAAATTTGTGAAAATGTGATCTTTGAGACAGAGAGATATTTCTATCCCACCTATTTTTTTTTTTTTTTTTTTTTTAATGAAAATTAAGAATTCTCGTCAATAGAACAGATCGTGGTAATTGGAGAAAATCCTATTTTCCCATTTTGCAAATCTAATTCACTTTTTTTTTACGTCTGTCCTGAGGAATGTATTCGTACGTTTAGCTTCGACTACTACTACTACTGATATTTCGTCGTTACAACAAATGATCCAAAAATTCTAAATTAGAGCATTAACACTGAAATCACAAAAATTTCCATCAGAGACACTGGAAAGGCAAGAAACAGAGAAACTTTATAACACTTTTCGTTTTTACGAGAAATTATTTAAATATTTAAAAATACGCTATAAAATATCTAATTATGAAAATTATAAATTGGTCGTTTTAAGTACTTTGGTAATTATTGCGTTAACGAAGCATCGAGAGTAAGCCAAGTTTTCGTTATCGCTCTATCCAATCTTCGCAACCTCCCAATTCCGCGTCGCGTCGTTCAATCAAAAAACAGGCAGCACGCATTAGAATTTCAACAAGTCAATCTCTTTCTTGTGGCGCGGAGCGGATGATATTTAGAATAGCGAGTAGAGCAAAGATTTATAGAAAACGGGATAAGAAAAGATAGTTTCGCTCAGGCGTTTCGCGTCGCTTAATTAAGCCATCGTCCAGCCGGTTAACTGACTGGCGCCTCCGTCCGGTACCAACGTCGACTCGACCGTCGCGATGTGGTCAACGCGCTGTTTTCTGATCGGCCGGATATTCACACACAGACGGACCACACATCGAGTTCTCGGATCCTTATCGGTTTGTTGCCTCATCGTCGGCGGGCCCTCTCTCGCTGGCATCGTGATTTTAATCGATCCTCTTTATACGAACCGCGTCATACACGCGGCATTACGGCTACGACGACAACTTAATGATATTTATCGTTAATTGCCGAGACGTCACTGAGATACTGGGAATGATCGTCGTTCTCGGAGAAACGATACGTTAGGGAGATACACGCACTTCGAAATGTAGGGGGAGTTGGAATTTTAGATACAGCGCGAACTTACGATGGAAATTAAGCATGAGCAAACGAGGAGTCTCGATTCGTCAATTTTGGCAAATTTTATTCACCTGTGCTACTTAAAGTTTCGTGTTAGAAGATAAGTTCAATAATCGATGTTAGCGCAGAGAGATGTGTCGATGAAAGATTTTTCGATGGATCGATCGTGTCACCACCGTTACTCTTCTGTTTCTTCCCCTTGCTTTCCTTTTATTCTATTCATTTTTACTTCAGCACGTGAGTGACTTATATACGTATATAAGCTGGCCATTTGAATATCTTCTCTAATAGTGACAGTACAAAAGTACCACGTAACTTAAATTGATTGAAGAGACGAACCGGATAAAAGAACTGTTTTTTTTAAATATAATTTTTTAATGTTTTCTTCAAGGTCACTGGCATTTTTCATGAAGGAAACGTGTATTTTTTTCTAACCGACGTAGCTCGCGAAAAAATGCATTCAAATATGTTTATGATGTGAACTTCAAATGACCTTGGACTTAAAAATTTTTAAATTAATGTGAAACTTATGTTGAGCTAGATTCTAGATTAGGAAGACAATAGAAGTGATCCTGATGGTATAGATACATTTAATTTAAATGCTCAATATGATATCCTTTTACTATAACGCATTTCCTGAGACAATGAATGACAGATTTTCAACTATTAAACAACACGGTGCGTTTATTAATTCTGCCAATACGTAGTAATCTTTTACAATTTTATGTTACTATGTCGATTTATGTTACTATGTTACTCTTACGATCAGTATATCTTTTATTTTTCAGTTCAGCCTTTGTTTCGCGACACTGACAATTGGCTTTCGTCTATCTGAACACATCAGTTGGTCCAAGGATCAACCACCTTAGGAACAAACTCCTTTATTTTCCGATTCTGTTCTCTTCAGCGTGGAATCCCAAGGATTTCGAATATGAAGTACTAATCTCGCCCTGGCAGTTGTTACCGTCATTCTCGTCTGTCTCTTGAAAGTTTAAACTCGCGCGAACGTGAAAGCTCGCTCAACTCATATAGCAGCTAAGGGCTAAAACCATCTTTCTCCCCCCCCCCCCCCCCCCCAAATATCGCCAAGTATATGCGTCTGTGAAAATTCCTCTCTTTAGTAGCCGACGACAGTGGCAGTCAACACGTCGCGTTAGACGTTTGTCAACTCGATCTCTCGAATTCCGTCACAATCCTCGACTTCGATAAATTACTTTCATACATCGACGAGAATACGAAGTCAATACGTAGCTACTTGCTTATCATTGATCACAGAAATGATAACTATCGTTAGTAATTTTTCTGAGTTTGTTCATTGGATCTAAATAATTCCAAGGAACGATAATATTTGTTGAACATTCAAAACACTTTTACCACCATAAATTGAATCGTTACTGCAAGGTCCCTGTCATCGATGCAATAACTCGATCGCAGCTTTCTTTGACGAGGGAAACGCAGAAAGCGTATCATCTCGAACAAACACTCGCATTCGAACGTATTGTTGCACGTGCGTTGAAAGGCATTTACACCGAACTCGTGCATTGGAACATTCAAAATGAAAAGAGCCACTCATTCCGGCTCGTAAAACATCATCGTGCTCGTAACAGCCGACGCTGTTACTTTGTTGAATCGTGTACATCCCGGCACGAGCGGCATTTCAAGATCTCTCGCCAGTGAGTGGCTAGGAGACAAGCCTACGAAACACGTTAATTAGCGTGTTAGTCATGAATTCGTCGCGAGTCGGAGTCGTTTTCCGTCTGATAATGAAATGCCCAGTCAGCTGGTATGCCCGGCGTTATTTTCGAACGTCGAAATTAGCCGGTCGCTCGTTGGCAGCTCGCACACACGGGAGAGACATCGTCGTGAGATATTTCCACGGGGAAATATCTCACAACGTCTACACGACGCGACGCGATTTCGCTTGCGTTTCGTCGCGATAATCGGCCAATCCTCCCCCGGTCGCGCCATTAATTTTGAGGTAAAATTTTTTAACTAATTCAATTCCAAGTTTTCGTAAATTTTATAAATTTATCGAATGAAACAGCCAACGAATTCCAATTTTTCGTAAATTTTATAAATTTATCGAATGAAACAGAACTCAACGCTTCGCGCATTTTTTTCTTCTTTTTTTTTTTTGCGTGTGAATAATAGCCGTTAGCGTTAATTTTTCGTTAATCATTCCAAACTTCTAAGATGTTAAAAATTTCGAGGATTTCAATTTATTTCGCAGGCACACAGTCCTAAATTTATGACACCAAATTTACTAGCTTGTTACGATATTATTAACAAAACCGAAAAAAAAGATCACTCCATGAACCATTACTTATCATACGTTTGTAACACCTAAACCTATCATCCGCTGAATACTAAATTTTATAACATCCTCCGCTCGCAACTTCTCTTTTAATTCTAACTGTAATTTCCCAGTCGTAAATTAACGCGGCAAGTTTCTTATCCCTCGAAATGGCAAAACGAACGATAAAGGACGTGCTAATTTTGTTATTACATCGTATTGTAACTGATAAAAATAGCCGTGTTCCGTGTTATCGATTATCATTTTTAATACGCGAGATAACTAGAGATCGGAAAGACCGTCGCAGGAGTAAAAATTTAAGGCCAACTACGCGAGCTAAGGAGCATAAGAAAAAAAGTCTACGAGGCATGGCATTTGAATTGCAAACTCGTTTCCTGATCCTGGTACCTGCACCTGCAGAGGGATAGGGTTTCTAGTGCACGAGTCGATCTGGTGTGAGTCAGAGAATGAAAGGTTAACGCAATTTTACGTATGTGACACGAAATATTCGGCGGAAGGATTTATTGCACGCGTACTTTCAAATTAATATTACAGGTAATATT